GGAAATTTTTTTTTTTTTTTTTTTTTTTTTTTTTTTAGGAATTGTGCCATCATATGTTAATCTTAGTACTGGGTAAGCTTCAGCAATGTCACTCAATTTTCTGCTTAATCAGTGTAAAAACTGTAAGGATATAAGATACTGTTTTATAGATTTTCCTAATTTCTTAATTTTATATTCATTTATTGATAAAATAGATATTTTGCAAAAGCTAGCACACAGGAATGTGGCTTACTTTTGATCATCTTTCCCTGATTTCCTTTTGTGATATGGCTGACACTGTTTAACACATCTCCTGAGCGTTTGCTGTATCACTGGTACCATGCTAAACACTAAGGTTAGGAATAAAAAAGGATGAAGTTCTTAGTTTCAAAGGATCATGACCATTAAGGGATATAAACACTTAAATACTGTCACAATTTTCTGTGATAAATGAATTAATAGAATTATTTATAAGATTTTGAAACAGAAAAAGAAGCAAGGAATGGAGGGAGAAAGAAGAAAGGAAATAGAGCAGGCAGGCAAGCTGATGCAAGTAGCTCTGTGGAAGAACACTTTCCTTGCATGCATGAGGCCCTGTAAAAAGAAAGAAAAAAAAAGTGGGAGAAGTGATTAATGCTTGGGAGCTCAAAAAAGCTTCCCAGAAGTGAGAACCAGGCATGTGTGGAGAATGCATGTATCAGATAAAAGGTAGGAGAGACCAGTTTTTCCAAAGCAGAGAACAGATCCCAGAAATATGAAAACCTTTGTGGGTTCAGGAACAGAGAACCTTTTTGTTATGGCTGGAATCCAGGCAAAGAGGCCTAAAGATGGTCAGTCACCAGTATGACTGTCCCTCCTGGCCATCCAAGGTGTGGTATTGTTCTGGAGCCCTAGGAGGAGGAGGGGTGAGCTTGTCATAACTGATACAGTTTGGATGACAGCTATTAGGAGGGCAAGATGCTGAAAGCTGAAAGTAAGGCTGGGCAATCAGGCCAGGGTGGGAGAGGGTGAATTCCTTTCAGGAATGTGATAGCCATGTTTTCAGAGTTTGGTTGCTAGAGAATAGAGCTTGAGAGAGGAATCCAGGGGCTGCAGGTGCCTCCAATTGCATGGTTAACTCAACTGAATGATCTCTGCCATAGAACACAGCAGGAGTGTGAGTTAGAGCAAGTTCAGGGGTGTGGATCAAGGATTATGCAAAGAGTTACATTCTCTGGTGGTCATTTGTTTCTGCATAAGAGGTTCTTTTTCTTTGAAAATCTTCTGAGCATCAAGAAAGAACACAGGTAATACTGAGGAGATCGGGACTGTCAGGCATTTATTTAGAAAAGACTTTATTAATTAGGTGCAGTTTTATGAATTCCCAAGATATCAGGTAGACCATGAATAAAATTACAGAAATGTTAATCTTCAGAACAGAAAAAGAGATACAAGTTTTGTCATATTGAGATAATTGATAGTAAAAAGAAACCTAAGTTTGTCTTATTTTCCTTGAATGTATCAGATTCCTAGGACTGCTGTAATAAACTACCACAAACTAGGTGACTTGAAAGAACAGAAATTTATTCTGTCTCACTTCTGGAGGCTGGAAGTCTAAACCCAAAAGTGTTGTGGAGAGTGGGGTTCCCGAGACACCAGGAGCTGGTCCATGCTTCTCACCTGGCTCCTGGGGGTTGCCAGCAACCCTTGCCATTTCTCGGCATCTCTGCAATGTCTACCTCTATCTTCTCTTGACATTCTCCTCCCTGTGTCATCTTAACTAATTATATCAGTGAAGGTCCTGTTTCCAAAGATGATTACGTTCTGTAGTTCTAGGTAGACCTGATGGAAGGGGTGCTATTCAACACACTACTTCGACTTAACACATTCTCACAGTTAGGGTAAGCTGTGTAATAGCCATCAATGTGTGTTTATTTAGTATAGTATTTATTGTGAGTCACTCACCTAGGAAAGGGGAAGAGGAGTGAACAAGACAGACTTAATTTCTGCCCTTGGAAGTATACAATTAAAGTAGAAGTAAATCAAGCACATTGGAGAGTTCACTGCTCTTTCTATTTTATTTTGGTTTTGGGGTTAATTTAAAAAAGCAGTTGCCTCAGAATAGGTCTTCTAGTCTCATCACATGCAGAACAAGAGTGAAGTGTTCCCTGCATATGAAATTAGAAACATAGGGAGATTATTGTTATGTGTGGTCTATCACTTCGTGATGAATCACCTTACCCCAGATTTTTTCTTAGTCTTAACATTGTCTGGGATGATTTCCCTGTGTTGTTTTTAGCATGATACCAAAAAAGCAAGCATTCAAGACTATATTCCAAACCAAGGTCAAAGTAACTGGATGGAGTGAGAGTTAAGGTTGTCTTGTAGAGAACACTCACACATTGAAAAATATAAGGCAAAGAATAAACTTTTCTGCTTGGTCCAGTCGGTTCTGTAGCTATCACTTCACAGCTGATGCTCTAGAATGATTTTCAGCAGGAATGCAAATTAATTGCTCCTGTTCGGGACTCATTTTATGTGTGTATGCTTGGCAGACTTCACTGCTTTATAGTCTCATGTTGGTAGTGAATGAATGGTGTGAATAAGTTTGCAATCCCCAAAGTGAGTTACAGTTAGAAAGAGAGGCTTTTCCCTTCCTTCCAACTGAAAGGCACTCTTGGACTTGACTCCGGGGACTGCTGAGTGAACAGTAAGAGGCTCTCCCCTCTCAGCCTTGCTTGATGTCATCAGCAGGCCCATGGCCCCTGCGGTGAATGCTGAGGAGCCTTTTGGAGAAGTCTGTCCTAAAATTATCTTACAGAAAACCCTTCAACCAGCTCTGTCTCCACTGAACCCACAACTTTTCATAGTCTGAGAATAAAATTCTGAAAGAAAAACATAGTCTTTCTGGCTATATCCTCAAATGAGACACACTGTTCGGGGCCCAAATTTCTGAACCCTAAGTAATGTCTGGAAAAATAGAGAGCTTTATCGATACTGGGCTTCTATCTTTAATTTGAGTTGATTTTATTTAGGGTAGCCACAACCTAGCAGTTTGAATAAATCTTTTTGAAATGAAAATATTGCCTGTTACTTTTATTTTTCTTTAAGTGACAAATAGGTGTTTATATATCCTAATTTACATATCTCATTAGGAGTGTTCCCTAAACTTTATTTCAAAACAGAGTAGATGATATATTCAGAAGATATTCAAAATTGTATTTTAAATTCTGCATCCTTTCTTCAAGAAATGAGGTATTTCTCTTAAGAATCTATTGTAGTTTGACCAAGTCCCCATTCACAGAGGGACATTGTTTCCCTGTGTTTTCACATTACTCTGGGAAACTACTTCAGCTTTAGGGATCATTTTTTTTATGATACCAGGGATCAAACTTGGTCCCCTGTGCTTGCGAGGCAGACGACAAAACCACTGAGCCAAATCCCCGACCCTTTAGGGATCACTTGTGTGTGTGTGTGTGTGTGTGTGTGTGTGTGTGTGTGGGTGTGGGTGTGGGTGTGTGTGTCTTTGCCACCAAAAAAATGTCTATTGCCACTCTAAAATGAATTTAACATACTGTCAAGATGATGAAAGATCTTTGTATGCTTACATAATTATTCACACATAATTTATACCTCTCAATGAGTTGTTTTCTTCTTACTTAATAAACAGTGCAGTGCCTCAAGGACTTGGCTTTTGTTACACATTTCAACAAAATCTCTGCCCCAGTATAGTTACATTTTATGGCATTTTTGGCTTTATTGAATTGACTAGTTGTTTATCTGAATTAACCACATGTTTTTCTGTGTGTGTGTGTGAATTATTTTCTTAGTTTTGGTTTGGTTCTTTCCATCCAACAGTCCTGGCCTCAGTTATAAACCTGAATTAATATTGAACTTGTCAGTGGGGCTCAATCTTTATTTAGTGAAAAGAAACTTCTGCTGAAATACCTAGCCTGGATAAGAAAGCCATTTCCCCAGTAGCAAGTGACTTCCCTTGAAACCCAAGTGGATTGGGAGATTGTCCCCTCCAGCTTTACACAGGGAATCTGGGCCACAGCTTCCACTCTGGATTCCCAGCAGCACCTGCTCACTGAAGACAGGGTTGGAATGCATTTCCTAGTTCCCTCTTCAGCCTCCATGAAAAAGCAGAACCAAAATAAAACACATGTTTACAATTGTCCTGTGCCAGAGCAGATGGTATCCCAGTGCATCAGCACAATTTGGATATCCTTACTCCCCGATGTGACTATTAATGTGACAGCTACAGGTGTTCCCATCTGAGAAGGCATCAAGTACACCAGGATGTCCTCAGCCACTGTGCAATTAAACTGCAGTAAGCTGGGGCTTCCCAGCAGTGGTTGGAATCCTTAAACTTTCGCTTGTCTTTTCTTTGGTACCAGGGATTGAACTCGGGTCCTTGTGCTTGCAAGGCAGGCCACCGAACCGCTGAGCTAAATCCCCGGCCCCTGTATCGCTTGTCTTATTGCTCTCCGGGTAATTAAATCACTGAGTTTTTAGTGCTTTTTTGCTTTGTTGAATATTCTCTAGAGAAAACATACATAACTTTACGGACCTTGATTCCTCATTGAGCTTGATTCTTTTCTCCTAAAAAATATTTATATATTCAGCAAGGTGCAATGTTCTCCTGGAAGATAGGAGGATGGTGCTGAGGGGGCATCCATACTAGTGTGAAAGGTAATAGTACTGCAGTTCAAAGACATCCTTAGCTTTGCCTTGGAGAGAAGATACAGTCTGGTTTATGCAGTCTCATATCCTCGTACCAAGTCCATTTAGGAAAGGCTGACAAAATTCATGCAGCTAATACAAAACTTAGAAGCCAGGTATTAAGGTTTAGAATGAGAATGACCCCCAAAACTTTCATGCACTCAGGGACAGGGCTTTTGAAAGGTGGTGGGTGGGTTGCTGGGTGAGTGACTTGCAAGGGTATTTCTCCCTCCAATCTCCTCCCTTCTCTCTGCTTCCAGGCCACCATGCAGCCAGCAACTTTCCAGTGTCCAAGCCCTTCTGCCATGTAGTTTATATTTTTGAGCCAGCCAAACATAGACTGAAACTTCTTAAAAATGAGCCAAAATAAACCTCTCCTCCTTTAGTTGTGGGTGTCTGGTGTTTGGTTCTGTCAGCTACGAAAATGACTTATCCCAGCACTCTGGTAAGCTGAGGCAGGAGGATTTCAAGTTCAAGCCTATCCTGGGCAACTTAGTGATTTAGTGAGACCCTGTCTCAAAATTAAAAATGAAGAAGGCCTGGAGATGTAGTTTGTTGTGAGCCCTTGGATTCAATTCCTAGTGCTGACGAAGAAAAAGAAAGGCGTGGGGGCACAGCTTTGTTTTAGAATTTAAATGGTAAATTTCTTCTGCCCTTAAAGTGTTTAATAGAGAATGCTTGGTATTTGTCATAGTCACTCTGGAGGAAAGGAGACTTTCTTCATACAGTGAGAGCAGCCTTAAAACATTCATTTTTAAGTGGATGAACCAATTACCATGTAGGAACATGACTCCTTTTGGGCCATTTCTTGGCGGGGAGTAGCATGGTTGGGAATGTGAACGACAATCAATCACATACCTGAGGGTAACACTTAGATTAGTTGCCCCCTCCCAAAGATCTGAGTCCTCCAGTCCTTACTCCTGTCGGATGCCAAGCTCATCTAATGGCGTTTTCCTGGTCTCTACAGAGGACAAGTGGGCACCTAGTTGTGATGAAATCTTCAAAGGCACCCTGGAGACTGTCTTCCACACAAAAGGAAGGGGACTTAGCCTCTCCAGGAAGGCACTGCCTGCATCACTGGCTCAGTGTTAAACTGGCTCATTTAACAAATGATTCTTGAGTTGTATTTCTATAATCTAACCTCGCTCATAAAGGCACCTCAAACACACTAAAATCTTAGATGTCCTTCTAGTTGCTATCTAATATTGTCTACTGCATTACAAGGATCTATCATTTGGATTTTAAATTCGCAAGAATAAGGGCTAGGGGACACTAAGCCAGTGCCTTTGATTGCTTTGTAAATGTTAATGAAATCAGATCTTAACTTCTCTTCCAAATGTTCTGTGTTCACAGGAATACCATGGTTAAGGACAACAGTTGCTACCCTGGGAAGACTAGGGATAACCATGGCCTTTGAAATTGTTTATTTGGTAAACTCAGAATTGTACCCCACAACATTACGGTAATTCCAACATACATGTCATAGTTTCTCCTAAGCTCTCTGCAGCCAAATGTTTCCTTAGCTTTCCTAATACGTAATACATTAGCTGGGGCTGAGTTTAGCCAGTAAAGAAGTAGTCTTTGAGTAGCAGTTGTGTTCGGCATTGCTACCTGCTACATTTCGTAATACAGTACAAGTATTACAATACTTTCCCATGTCAGTTATCCTTATATATAGCTGTGATCTTAGAGAAAAGTACTAAACTTGGAATTAGGAAAACTCTTAGTGCACTTTCTCAGACTGCTGATTAAATTTGTATTCATCACCACTGCTATATTTTAAGGCTGTAACTTCTCTTTTAACCACATTAAGTGTGTAACACTCATGAGCAGCTGGTTATTGAAGAATAATGTGAAACTGTTCATGAAATAGCACAACTTGGGTTTCATATCTGTAGAAATACTCTTCTGGCTACACTTTTCAGGGCACCGAGGTAGCACTCAAGTGTTGTAGAGCAGTATAGTGAATGTTGATAGATGAATGTTTTTCTACCAACACTGGAGGCTTTCTTTTTTCTTTTGGTACCAGGGTTCAAACTCAGAACCTTTCATGTGCAAAGCAGGCAGCAGAACCACTGAGCTAAATCCCTGGCCCTGGAGACTTTCTTACTATCCTCATTGTGAAATAGTATCAAATGGAAATAATTTGCTGAAAGTACAAGAGAAATGTCATTTTCACAGTTAAAAACAATAGAAATGGAAAATGCTGTCACAATCTCTGCTACTCGATATCTGAATATTTTAATTATCCTGAATAAGTAATTTTTACTTAAAACTATTTTCCATTCTGCAGAAACTTTGGTGTTTCACTCTGCTCAGGTTTGTGTGACTTTGGGGGAATCATAGCCCCGTTTCTACTCTTTCGACTAGCAGCCATGTGGCTAGAACTACCTCTGATCATCTTCGGTAAGAACTCATTTTATATGTTATTCTCCAGTGCTTTTCTTCTACAGTCTTTGCAGTAGTACAACCTATTGGTTGCTAGATTTTATATTAATGATATCTATTTCTTCTTTCTGTAACAACTTTCTAAGTTTTTAAGGAGACACTCTGTTCACAACAAAATTTGAAATTTGGAATGGTTTTAATTTACTTCAAAGGGTGATGATAACCATTTGAGTTAACCTTTGTTTAAATTTTCAGATAAAAGCAAGTACCACAAAATCCTTTTATAGTATGGGGGGGCAGAATATAATTTCCAGAGGGCTAAATTAGACCTTCAGTATGTTTAAAAGTCAACGTAAGGACAAATTGTGTTTTTACATGTGTAATATTTACTAATACTAGATCTTAATTTAGTTTGATGCTAAATATGCTATGTTGAAAGAACAGAACACAAAATCCCTTCCACATATCCACATATCCTATTACCTCTTCCACATTCCTCAAATTCACCCCCTTCTTCCCACCTGCGGTCTCCATAGAACTCATGCAGTGACAGAATCCTGGTCTCAGGAGGCACCAGAAGACACTTCCATGCTGTCCCCTGAGTTACTTACACTCTGTCCTCAGCAGTAAAAGACCAGAGTTAGTCCCTCTCTTGCCCTGCCTTTCTTCCATCCCACTTCCTTACTTTCCATAGAAAATGTTTCCATTTCTTGTTCAACAGGTGAAATTTAAATGACAATATTGAGTCCAGGCGGCTGTACATTCTGATTCATGCTAAACTCCTTTGACAGCACTAGGAACAGATAGTCCGCTTCTAACCACTTAATACCACTTATCTTAGTACAAGGCCATTTCAAATGATTTAATGGTTGATAATAAACTCAGTGTCAATTCTGCAGCCAGCATGAAAAGCAAAGAGGCACCACTGTCGAACCAGTACCAGGCATTCAGGCAAAGTGTTGGCTTAGTCCCATGAGACTGCAGTGAGTCTATGGGGAGTACCGCCCAAGCTGGCCGGGGCTGGGCCAGGCCCTGCCCTCCTGGAGCTGGTGGGGAGGGGACCAAGTTCCTGAAAACCCAAGGACAATAGAGTATGAAAAATCCTGAACGTGTTATGTCTCAGGGATGTCAAGGGAAGAGTTTTGGGAAGGAAGGAAGAATCCAGGTCTAGGGTGTGATCTGAAGTGAGAGGAAACTCCCCGTGTTAGGGATAGGGGCTGTGCTCCTAGCAGTAGGAAGGCCTAGGGCAAAGGTCAGAGTCCAGTGTGTGAAGTGGGGCCTGATGGGAATTATCGCCCGGGAGGCAGGCACAGATCATCAAGGGTCTCCTCAGTTGTGCAGAAACTTTGCTCTGTATCTCATGACAGGGGAAGAGCCTGATACTGCTGGGTCCAAAACAGCTAGATTTGTATCTTAGAAATAGGATGCTGATGGCAGATAGGGAATTGAATTAGAGAGGGACTGAGCTGTCTCTGAGGTGACGAAAAGAATGTGATCACTGAGTAAGAGATCATAGTGGCTTGATCTAAGGAGGAAATGGCAGCAGAATGGAGAGGAAGCATCAGGAATTGGATTGGCAGGTGAGATAGTTGACAGGATGGAGTCATGAGATGGGTGGCCCAGGAACAAGCAGATGAAAGACACACTGGTGGGGGGTCGTAGCAGGCTGAGGAGGGATGCAGGATGAGGTAGCTATAAGAAATCAAAATATTGAGAACCTGGGAGTCTGGATGTCACTGAGCCCAGGAGAGAAATGTGGCCTAGAGATGGGAATTCAGAAACATCTGAATATGGATCACTTGTGAAACTGGGGCAGTGGCCAGAAGGTAGGACAGGGGAGCTGAGAAAAGTACAGAGCAGGGAAACCATGAGGGCAGGGTACGGCAGGGCAGGGAAGTCAAGGGAAGGTAGGTGTAACTCTAAACTGGCCAACAAAGCCCAGTAGCAGTGCCGCTGGATCTGAGCAAAGGCAGTTGGTGACCTGGGTGGAGAAGGACCAGGGAGGAGGTGGGGCAGCACAGTGTGCAGTGAGGCTGGATGTATGACATAGGTGACATACTAGGACCGGCTCCTGTCAGCTCACCAGGGCTAAGAATTTTGAGAGTCATTCATTACATACAACTATAATTAAAAATTAAAGTGTATAAAATATATTAAAGGAGACCATAAATATTCAACATTCACCAGTTCCTGTTCCATGTTTTGATTATTATGGGTGATCTTTGGGTTATTTACTGTATCTTTATCAGGTTATTCTACTCTACCTTTCTGGTGGGACTACACTAGGATGGAGCACTACTGCCTGTCTCTTCCCTGGTGCTGCATTCCCTGAGGTTGGGCCAGTAGCTTGAAGTGCCCATGCCAGGAGTGTTTATACCATGGAAACAGGCTATGTCAGGGCTTTATTGTACAGAGCCAGAAATTAGACATTTACCAGCACACTGCTAGGTGTGAGAAATAGGCAATTACAGTGTTTCCTGTGTTTGGACTCCAAAGAACAGAAAGGGGAGGATAGTAAGTGGAGGAGGATGAGGCTAGCAGACAGTGGAGATGAGCATTTCAGTGTGTCGGAATTCTCCTACTGATAGGATGAAGATGCTGGAGAGTAATCAGTATAATAAAGACCCCAAAAGAGGGACTAAGTGAGACCTCATGGGAAGGAGAGGATGCAATTAAGTTTTAGAGTCAGGAAAGGGAAGAGGAGGGGATCCTCTCTAGTTCTGCTTTCCCTCTGAAGCAGGAGGTGAGACCTTCAGTGCTTAGCTTGGTTGATACTCAGTAAATACAGTCATGCACCACATAAGGACATTTTGGTCAGTGACTCACAATATCATCCTGTGGTGATCCCATAAAACTAATGCTTAGTGATGTCATAGCTATTTTAATTTGCATAAATATACAGTACTTTAAGATGTTCACACAAAAAAGAAATCACCTACAGGTGTATCTCTCAGACCATCTTCCTGTCATTAAGTGACACAGGACTGTAACTGTTAAAGGTATGAATGAACAGATGTATGCCAATAGTCCAGAGCCCATGGTATGGTACAGGATTTGAGGAAGGTGGGGAACATTTGAGATCCTGGAAGAGCTGAGTAGGGTGAACAGAGGATTGCTGTGGTTGAGAGGGCAACTTAAGATCCATGAGCCTAGCAGCTTCCAGAGCAGGCCAGGAGCCAGGGGGGCCAACCTATGCATCTACAGTGGTAACACCTTTCCCCTTCTGCAGGTATCTTGGCATCGGTTTGTGGTGGCCTTGTGATGCTTTTGCCTGAAACCAAGGGTATTGCCTTGCCAGAGACAGTGGATGACGTTGAAAAACTTGGCAGGTATTGTACAAAACTCAGCACATTCCAAATCAAAGCAGCATTTTAAACCCTTGGGCAAAAGGTGCTGTTGAGAAAATTGAATTTCCATAGGAAATGATGACATTAAATCTCCTCTTCATGTAGTGTAGTAAGAAAAAAATTGTTGAAGATTTTTAAAAACCCATGATATAAAAAAGTATGTACTATTTTTAAAATGTGGTTGGGAAGCATTTCCAAGTAAGGTGTTAAAAATCAGAAGAGATCTAAAGAAAGGGACTGGTATGTCATAGAACGAGGTAACATAAATGTGTATTAATAGGAAACTAAGAAAAAGATGATCATTCCACTGTGGGTTACTACACAAAGATGGAAAGAAGTGAAGGCTATCTACATGGAATGCATGGGAAGCTTCTTGAGATTGATTACAAAATGAAACAAGAACAATGTGCTTTTATATTTATTAAAAAATAAGCCAGTAACAATCCCTGTGTGTAGCTATATGAGAAGATAGAAGGCAGACAGTTGACAGAAAAATAGATGATGGGTAATATATCATTGCTAAGTGAAGATGGGCAGACAGACAGATCAGATAGATGGAAGAAAGAGAGATTGAGTTTGGGGGAGAGGGATATAAATATAGGGATACCTTGGTTGTCAGTCGGCTCCAAGCTCTAACTTTCGACTGCTTGAATAGCAGTATTTGAAAGAAACCTGAACAGTGTTCACAACTTTGCTCGATAGTCAAACCAAAAATCCAGCTTGAACAAAACCTGTATGTGCTGAGAGTGAGTCGCTCATCGCATCTAGCCATGGACACAAAGAGGCGACACTTCAGTCTAAAAGCCACTCACCCAGACAGAATACAGTACTTGTGTTAGTGAGTTAAAACATTTGTTACTGTGCTGTTTGGGGCACTTTATTTGCATAAAATATTGTAACCATGGCTCCAAAGAAAGTGATACCAGCAGTAAAACTAAGAGAAAAAACTGTGAGAACCTTTGCAAAATTTGTTAAGGTCCTGGAAACTTTTGGGCCTCAGAACCAATTATTTGGTTTTCCATTATTTCTTATGGGAAAAATATTTCCATTTTTGAACTTTTGGGTATTCAAACACAAATTTGGAAGGAATTGAGTTTGACAACCAAGATATCACAGTAGTTAGCGTTCAGTGAATATATTGGAAAAGATACCAACATATAAAAAGCTATGTTGATAAAAATTCACATTGTACCAATTCTCATTTTATGTTTGAAATTTGTCATAATAGAAAGAAAACATAACTACAGAAATGAATGGTTAATAATGTATACCCTCTGGGGATGGAAACGTGGTAGAAGGGGATGTGGAAGGGAGGACCATCTTTTTACCTAGATAGACTTCTATAGTGTTTGATTATTCTTCAGTTAGATCACATGATGTGGTATTACTTGTATAATTTAAAAAATAAGTTACCATCTAATTTTTAAATAAAATTTAATCTTTTTAATAATGAAATGAGAATGTGGACCTCTAAATGTATAAAAATGTATCAAAAACATTCATAAAAATACTACATTTTAATAACTTTGAGGTAGTTTTTCCTTCACCTGTAGATTGGGAAGAGGGTAGAAGCTGACATTTTAAAAGCACTTCTGTTATTAATGGTTTTACATATGTTATTTCACTGAATAATCAAAGCAATCTTATAAAAATAGGAATTTTTAATCTCCTTTTTTCTAACCAGGAATTCTGAATGGTTTCTCAGCTTTTAAAAACTAGAACTAAGGGTGATATTGTCAAGTACAAGTATGACTCCATTGCTGTGTGTGGTTTCATTTTATGCTGTGACCTATCTGTGAATTTGTTTTACATAGTGAGCATCCCTCTGGTAGAACTGGAAAATCTCTTCTTCTGTTCTTCTTTTCTTCCATTACCTAGGGACTATTGCCCTCTCCAGAGTCAGGGAACCACTACCAAAGGTCCCCTGAGTGTTTTATCAGAGCTTTAAAACTTTGTACAGTATAGCTAACTTAATTCAATGATCTTTTTTGTTCTGTTTTCTGAAGCCATTTGAAAAACAAGATTGATTAATCACCTTCCAGAACTTCCCTAAGAAAGGTTTCAAAATGAAATCACCTACTGATGGGATGGGCCAATCAGAGGATGGGGCATTTCCCTCAACAAGGAAACCCAGTAGACTCTTGTGCTTGTCTGGGAGGAAAGGGATTGACAGTGGCTTATTCCCTACCCAGACCCCCACTTGTTTTACCTTAGAACAATGTGATGTGAGATTTGGGATGGGGTGCACCATCTCTTTATGACACCGTTGTCTTGTAAAACGAAGTTAAGTGAATCAAAGAAGTGAATTATAGTTATTAAAACTGTGTAACATCCTTTGAAGCCTTCTGCCATGGTAGTGTCTTCTCCATCCAGAAAGGGGACATGCCGGGCTAAGTGGTCATCACTAACAATGACTTGGAGGGGAGATGAGGGTGGCGCCAAGTCCTCTTACCCCAGTTGTAGCCATACTTGAAGATCAGGAGAAAAGAGACTGTTCAAGAAGGTTCCTGAAATAGGGGGTGGGGGGATAGTGAAGAAGGAAACAGAGTTGTCTGAAGAATAAGAGGTCAGTAGGGTGAGAGGAATTTCTCATGGGTTTATGCTTGCCTCACTTGGGCAGAATTATGGGTCAAAAGAGAGGAGGAGCTCAGAACTGTTTATTGGAGGCAGAACCTCCCTGGGGCTACAGACTTCCAGCACTGCAGGACTGAAGCCTTCATCACATTTGCAGCCACACTAGTGACTGCGCTCTCTCCTAGCCAGAGGCCCTGCATTCTTCCTGTGATGCCCTTGTTCCTGATCCCTACTCAGGTTTTCTCTCTCACTCATCAGGAAAAAAATGGAAGAAAGAGAGTGTCCTTTGGATCAGGACTCTGCCATAAATTCAGTCATATTAGTTAGATTAAGCAACTTGGATAATGGAGATATTTTTTTGAGGGGGATCCTAAATATTGTGCAGGAAAAATGAATATCCATCTGATGTATAATCATGAAGAATTATACCAACAAACATTTAAGTTGCACAGATTCTTTTAATGTTTTTGTGATTTTCATAGTAAAAAGCAGAGTAAATTGATTATACCTAGTCCCTGCTCTTGAAAAAGAATCGGAGAGCCTGATTTACAGGTGTAAAAACTAAGTTCATTAATTATGACACATGACTATTTACTCTAGAATGACACTACTTAGCATCAAATTGCTTAAACCTGTTGGTGTATTCCCTTTTAAAACTGCAGGGAATTATTCTATCATTTCTACTGTCTTCTGTTACTTCAGCAGCTCATTTCTAAGCCATCTGTTGTTTAGTAGAAATTCATGAGAAACTTGCAGATTATAATGCTAATTAACCCCTATACAAATCAAAGTGAGTCACAGAGGTAATTATTTTGGCTACCTTTGAGTTGGGTTGCTAATGAGATGCTATGCGTGAGTGTATTTGATCAAAACCAACCATGCTACTGAGTAGTAACAAGATTTTCTTCTAACTGGTTGCATGGTTGCTCACAAGGACTTTATCTTTTCTCCTTTGTTTTGTAAATTCACATCCCCTAGCAGGAAAAAGAAAACCCAGGTTTCCAGCTCTCACTTGTGAGACCCCTGCAAAGCCGGAGGAAGGAGCTTTTGGAGTCCATCCTCCTGGAGAAACTGAGCCTCCAGAGATGTACCTGTGCACTTCAGCTTCATTACGCAGTGCCGATTCAAGTGTCTTTACCATATAAAGACCTGCAGACTATCCAGAGTATTTTTATACAATATTGGATTTCAGATTTTTCATGCTATTGAAGTTTCTGGGAGCACATGATACGTGACTGGGTGAGCAAAGAACATACTCAATGCACCACCTATCCTGTTTGTTTTTTCTAGTGTTGGGATCAGCAGTCTCTGACTCATTCAATTAAAGAGGGACAAGAGAAGCCCTACCTGATCCTTATCAGGAATGCAGGCTGTACAACCAAGGATCCAGGAAAGGTGTATGGTGATGCATTCATCACATCTGATTAAAGGACACAGCACAGAGTAAGCGTCAGGAAGAGTCCATGAAGGATGATGATTTGCCCGGGCCACACCAAACTGAGCCTTTGCTTTCTCTGTTTCCTGGTTTCCACACCTTTGTAGTCTGGACAGGTCACGTGTCCCTCCCACCCACTTTCTCTGTAGCATCTGGGGTTCCAGGTACAGGTTAGGCCTCATTCCCTAAATAAGCACAGGTCTGCTATATAATTTGAGGATTTGGTCTGTTATTTTAAAATTAGGTTTGGGTCCTAAGATTATTTGGAATATTTTTGGTTTCCTTTAGTGAACACCTATATTACCAGAAATTCCATTCTTTAGAGAAGAAAACCCACAGATTATGATTTCCTGGGTTTTATGATTTTAAAAGTAATGGGATATTTATGCTATATTTATGAGTTCTGTTCCAATAGTACCTATGGTTGAATGAAAATTATGGATGGTTCTCATTCAATCTTTGCCCTTTGATTTGTCTTGGGAAAAAAAAGCTTATATTTTCATTTAAAGAAAATGTCAATTATATACAAGCTTAAAAAGAGATTAAGTGACTTTAGAGATACTCATAAGAAATTTGACCTTCTATGTTATCAAGACTCTTGAAATGTGAAAATTAAACACAGTGTTCTGCTTTGTGTATTTCATCTGTTATATTTTCGGAATCCAACATATATCTTATGCTGAATTTTTTAATGAAGAACGTAATGAGGATAGACAAAATGAGTAACAAAGGGAAACCTTGCTACTGAAAAAGAAAATTTCTATGAGAACATATATATATGTGGCAGTATTACGATATCGTAAAATAAGCTTGGGGTGTGTGTGTGTGTGTGTGTGTGTGTGTGTGTGTGTGTGTGTGTGGTACTGGAGATAGAACCCAGGGCCTCATGCATCCTAGGTAGGCGCTCCACCGCTGAACTAAAATAAATGTCTTAATCTTTAAAGCACGTCAGAATTTAGCATGAACATTCTATCATCAATGATGGAAATACAGTTTTTTGAGGATTTCATGCTGCATTCATCCCGTATTCACAGACACTGATGGTTTTGCTTTTCTTTGCATCTTTTTGCTGTGAGATGGCGGTTGCGTTTTGATACTATCACCTTTGAATTGTATTTGGAGTTGATATTTTTGTTTCATAACAATAAAACATTTTAAATTATTAAAAAATATCCATTCTTTCTCTCCCTTCTGAACATGTGTCACCATAAAACACTATTGCTGTGCTGCCTGTACTTTCCAAACCTGGCAGCCAGTTAGGGGCAGAAGGTAAAGTGGTCTGTCTTCAACACTTTGGTATCATTCCTGCATTCAGATGTGACCCAGATTCTTACCTGGTCTAAGAGCACTTTCAATGCCTGGTTTACACTGCACACAGCTCTGTGCCATGCCCCATGGGCTGTGCTAAAGTTGAGTCATCAGTAACAGATTTAATTCCTAGGAATAGTACTTGTTTTGACTCCCCTCATGTGTGGCAGCTTTGAAAACATTCATTTCAGTGCCAGGAAAAAAAGGCACTAAAGATATATATCAAGCCACCTTTAATTGACACAGTCAATACCTGGGTACCTTGCTAAGACCTCTCAGTGGTCTTATAGGCTTCTTAGTCATAAAAGCAACAATTCCTTGTGAAAATGAGATCACTTTGGGTTTTTTCCTTGAAACTGGTAGTATGAAGAGCATAAAATGTTCTTCTCCCATGCCAAAAAAAAAAATAAATCAAAGAAAGTACAGAGTTTATTTAGAACAAATGCCATAGCTATGTGGCCTTACTATTAGAATCCATGGACAAGATTTATTCACAAAAATATAAAAAATGCCAAGAGTTGGCAGTAGATGGCAACTAAGTACAATGTCTTAGTCTGATTACTGTCAAATTATTTCTGAGCTTTCTAAATTCCGTACCCATGTTCCAGCTTCTAGGTAAGCTGATGCTTCATTCTGTCACCCATCTGATTAATTAGTTCTCATTATTTCTTCAATCCATTTAACAAATGTTGAAACACGAACATAGACACCAGGCTTATTGGGCCGTGCACAGCCAAGACCCCAGGAAGTGACTCCTTGTAAAATGTACTTGTCCTTCTCGAAGCAGACCAGAGGCCCTCCACTGTCACCCTAGAGACAATGGAGGAAAGTCTATTAGAAGACTAAACAACTCTCCCTTTGTTATGAGTCTCCTCCCCCTGTTAATTCCTAGGTAGATTTTTCTCAGCATTTAAATCAGAAAGGAACTTATTAATAATATTATCATTTGAGCATCTGCAGTGTTTAAGAACTTAGCAAAGTCTATTCAGCAAAACTCCTGTCATCTGGTCTTCCCTGGGAACCAGTCCCTTGTGAACACTGTCCTTATCCCCTCCTGCCTTGGGGCTTCCCTCTGGCCCAGCTCGCCTGAGCACACTTGCCAAGAAGTGCAATGGGTCTCTGTCCTGGACCCTCAACCCCTTCCCTTCTGCAAAGCCTCCCAACCCAGTCCCAGTTCACCAAGAAGGCACATGGCCTGTGGAAGTTACAGTACCAACCACTCCCTGACTGTTAGCCTGAGAAATCTTAGATTCTCTGCATAACCCTCGAGGCAGGCACAGGGGGCTTCTCAGCAGCATTGTGACTGGGGCTTTGGGCTGGCAAATCCTTCTCACTTTGCCAGTTTGGAACTGAAAGCTTCATGGGACCGAGTCAGGCCAGAACAAGACTGATATGAGTCTCCTTAGTCCTTTCTTACCTGGCAGCTGTCCGTGCCACCAGCCAAATGCCCAGCACAGAGCTCAGTGGATTTGACTCTGCCATTCAGGTACTCAAAGCGGTTGCACACTTTATTCTCAATCACAGGGAGCTGGGCCTCCTTGAGAAAACCAGCGCCGTAGGTTCCTGTGAGTAAAGAGACAATTACTGGGTCCAAACCTGTTCTCAAGGAAACTTCTAGAACAACAGAGCAACAACAACAGGTCTCTTGTTTGTTGGGACAGCCAGACAACACAAGGAGCCAGTCCGAATAGTATTAGAACCCTTTGATACTTGAAAGTCTAAACTTTGTCCAAGATGTTATGCTCCCAAGAATTGCACTTAACAAGCTGAGCTTCTTGATGGTGTTTAACTGTTGGTTTGTTTACTTTTAAAACTATAAACAAATTATTTTAATATGCAAAAGAAGTTTGAGAAATACAAGTGCTACTATTTTTATATATTCTTTTTCAGGCTTTTTTATGCTTCATTGACTACCTAGACCACATCATACAACTTCAAACCTTGATTTTTTTTTCACTCGTCGTTATAACATAAGGACTTTTTAATTAATTTTACAGTCTTTACAACATTTTAATAGAGTGTGACTGCTCAGCGGCTGTGAGGTCTCCTTTTTCGGGAGAAAGGAAAATGTTCTGGAAATAGGGTGATGGCTGCACAACATTTCCAATGAACTAAGTGCCACTGGGTTGTACTTTGCAAATTGGTTAAATGGTAAATTTTATTTGCTCATATTTTATTGTAATATAAAAGAAGAACTATCATTCACTGAGAATTAACCTCACGCACAAATTCATCCTCTGATGCATCTCATTTAATCCTCCCACCGGCCCTATAAACGGGGCGCTGTAATCGTCCCTGGTGTCCAGTTAAGGAAACAGAGGGTGAAGAGGTTGTGTTGTTTGCCTTGAACTTGGGTCTGTGAATTTATTACCTGGATCCTGCATCACCATGCTTGTTGGCTCCTATCCTTGCTTCTAATGTTCTACATCTCTGCATATGCAGTTGATTCTAGTCTCTAATATTTTCCCAAGTCTAAGTTTCCTGAAACTATATAGACATATTTATGACTCCCAAGAACATTGCCAAATTATTTTCTAAAAAGATATGAAAGTGTAAAATGCACAGGGAAAACACACTCCATCATACCTTATGAGTATCCCTATTTCAATATCATTAAAATGTTATCTTTTTAAAAAATACTAGTTAATGTAACAGGTCGAAGTTATCTTGATTATTTTCCTAATTTACACTTGCTTAACAATTAGAGGGGAAATTTTCCTGTGTTTGTTTTACTAGTTGTATTTCTTCTCTTTGTGAAAAATTGCCTTTTTCTCTCCTTGCAAAATTGAAATAGTATTTGCAGACTTACTAGGAAAAAAAAATGCTGTTTTTCCAGATGGATACATCAAGGACATCTCAGCATTTGTGCAGATAATCCAGTTTTCCAATTCTGTAAGCCCAGGCTTTCCCCAGGGCTTTGCAACAACTCTGCTTTGCCAGAACAGCCAAGAAATGACAGCTATCTCTTCCCTAAAGATGCTGAACTTAGATGACTGACTGTCTTACATTCAGAAAACTTGGGCTTAATCTGAATAGCACCAGAGCCCATAAGAGGCTTGTCTGAATGTCATGGTCCAAAGCTAAGCTCAACACAGGCTGGGCAGCTGTCCTGGCCAAAGGTCCTAACTACTAAGGATTGAGCAGGAGGGAGCATTGCTTAAACTTACTAGAAAGGAGTGCTTTTCTCAAACATTCTGCCGAGCCAAGGCATGATGGCCATGCTTGTTGTCCCAGCACTCTGGGAGCTTGAGGCAGAAAGACTGCAAGTCCAACACCACCCTGGGCATTTTAATGACTTATTCTTGCATCTGCTTTTTCAGCAAGAGAGACATTTTGACATGGGGGAAAAATCCACCTCTGGGTTAGTGGAAGTTGGTATGGTCTGTAGGGACATGCTGCCATCCCGTGGCCAAAGTAGAGAAAGCGCTTCTGGGAACCCACAGACCGTGGGGACCTCAGAACAGAAGCTCTGTTTGGGGAAGAAAGGGGTGGCAGGGAGATCCAACAGCAGTAGTAGGTCTACATGCCTGGGCAGAACTGGTGAGGGGCTGAGGTGGGGGAATCCCTCATCCTCAACTCCGAATTTATGCTTGGAATGTGAAAGTCAGAGAAAGTCTTGGAGACAAGGAGAGACTGGAAGAATTTGGATCTCACACTGGGAAGGTGAAATGTTAATCCATCTGCAGTCTTTATGGCCATGAAGGAAGTTGGTAAGTAGACCTGAGTTAACGTTATGTGACCCGTGGTCCAGTTAATACTCCGAGAATTATTTCCTTAGTACATGTGTGGCAGGACTGAGAGTGACAAGGAGTCCAGAATAGGATGGTGGTTCAAAATATGTAGGTAGGATTGGAACAGAAGAACCCATGAACACACTCGATGTTAGGCAGAACTGGACTCCATCAGGGGTCAACTGCACATTGGCTATGTGATAACCGTGATGCTGATGCTGATGCTGATGGTAGTCGTGATGGGGACGGTGGCAGTGGCAAAGATGGTGAAGACGGTGGGGTGATGATGGCGGTGGTGCGGTGGGGAATGTTGATGTGCGATGTGCGGTGGTGATAATATTGATAGCAGTGATTGTGACAATGATCATGATGATGATGACGGCCACAGTGGTGACTGAAGGCGGTGGTGGTGGTTAGGATGGTCTGGTGCACAATCTTAATGCCCTTGATGATCTTGCAGGGTGGTACAAATGAGAAAACCAAAGCTTTACAGGAGTTAAGTGACCGGGTAATATCACTTGGAAGATGACGGAGCCCTGTCCTTATGATCTTAAGACCATCTTTAACCAAGATAGTGTAGAGGATATATGTTGTTTTTCTGGCTGCCGAGCAGCCTTTCACCCTGCATTGCATAAGCCTATTGAGTGATCGACCCTATGCCCCTCTGGGTGTGAGTAGGGTCCTGCCCCCAGCTCTAGGGTGGAGCAGATGTTGCAGGTTTGAATCAGCCATGACCAGAGTGGATAGATGTGTTGAGTGCAACCTCTCACAACTGGGAAAGTGGCCTTCCTTTACCTCTCAGCAGAGCCAGTATCAGAGCCAGCACTGGATCTGCAGCCACAGGGGAAGCCCCTATGTGCTCCAAACAGTACCCAGACCATAGTTGGAGTATGTCTGAGGTTTGAGTTAGCAAGAGGGCCAGCAGAGTTTTCAGCTCACTACAGACTTCCTCTTTTTTGTTTAATCTAATTTAAATGGATTTTCTGTCAGTTGCAAGAGTCATATTGAATACAGATATATCCCCTATCTTTAAGAGAACAGCCATTCCTGGAGCACTGGGCATGTGAATGGTGCTCTATGCCCTTTCTCACCGCTTCTCTATACACAGCCCTGCAGCCTCTCATTTTTCATCCTTGGAAGCCACTTGTGAGCTTTTGGGACTTTTTTAAACACCTAAAGCTGATGAGACATGCAGTTTCTGCTGTCTTCCTGCATGTGCCATGAGCCTCAGATTCTTCATGTATAAAACAGGGAGGTTTGCATTTTTAAATCTATACCTTCCCCAGGAGATGCTTCATTTTCCAAGTTTCCTCTCGCTTGGCCTTAGTGCCTCAGACTCAGAAGTATGGAAAGGGGGAATAAGAAGTTTGTTTTTGTTCTTTTTTTAAGCCATAAAACCTCTCTTCAATGCAAGCTCTCTGCAACTCAAGGCAGAGCCATTGGCCTCACTAACACTCCTGAGAGGCAAAGATCCACATAAAAAGCCAAGCCTGAGGGATGTAGTTATTATCTGCGCATACGCAAAGAGAAAGTTTCCCAAAGTGGAATGCAGGTGCTGATTCCAGATCCTGCACTTAGGCATTCTCCTGGCCCGACACCCCATTACCTGATACCAAATGCCATCCTTGACCAGGAGCCCTGAACTTCCTCTTCTTTCCCAACTTCTAGCCTTTCCCTTTCCTAACAGCATCTCACACACACCCATCTTATGGGATGAAGACTCGAATAGCTATAATTTTTATTGTTTTGTGACATGTTTGGGAACCTAGTATGGCTAACATCCCATGAAAAAAATCATGTAGCACTCT